CTGATTTTTTTTTTATTTCATTCCAACAGTAAAGGAAACAGTCATCTTGCAAATTAAATGAATCTGCGCAAAGGGTTCTTACCAAACTTTAATTCAACTTAATTTTTTACTGCTTTTTCATTCACTGATTGTCAAAAACAATATTTACAACTGATTTTGATATTTACAATAAATATTTAATAGCTTTTCATAGAAATAATGACAAAAATATTAATGGGCCAAAATTTTATGTTCCTTTTTTTTACTATAAACATCCAGCATAATAATTTCAAATACATACTCGACCGTTGATTTTAAGCAACGTCAGTCTTTTAGCAATGTATTGCTATTGTGCCACCAGCAGTTATAGAGTTGCAATGTTATACGTTGTCCTCAGTTTTTCTTTCAAAGGGGTATATATTTACATTTACGCTGCAACCCACTATATGAGCATTACAAGCAGAAATGCATTTCATTTGAGTATGATGGCAAAAACTCTCGTGATGTAGCATGTGGTGTACTTATGACGTCATAGATTGACCTTGTTCAATGAGAGTTTTGTTGCTTCGCTTCGGATAACATGGATATTATGCCCCTGCGTTAGCTCAAATGACTACGGTGTATTATTGGCGCCAATTTGATTGAAATAGGGCTGTTCCGCCAATGTCGTTAAAAGGACGACGCATATACAAAATGCAGTGAATAAATTATTTATTTAAAAAACAAATAAATTACGCAATTATTTTCAGAAAAAATGTATATATATATATAGATTGAACGGCATTTTTTAAATTTTCATGCCGGTATGAATGCAAATCGTTACATTCATATTAAACATGAAGGCCGCTTCATGCAATATGTATGTAACCGATTTGGGTTCATATCAGCATGAACATTTTTGAAAACTTTGTTCAATCCCTATATGAAAACGAAACTTTGACCATTGAGATTTGAGTAATGTATCAACTCACTGCTCTGGGCTATTAGCAATTCTGGAAAATTAGAATAACAGCAGAATCTTCCAAGCGTCTCATAAAATAACCATCACAGATTATTTTGATCATGTAAATTGGCAAACAATATTGAAAAAATTCCAGAAAATGAATAGGAGGTGATTATAAGGGACTGACATGTACATTGTATTAGGTAGAATCCAGTATTTGGTAGGAAAAGGAAAATTTTACCAAAAAGATTTGAGCATTTCGTATGACATGAAAAAAGGAAATTAATCATATCCTTTATGATACAGATATTGATAGGCCATATTTTGATTTTCTAATAATCAACTGCTTTTTGACGTTTCGTAGGATTAAACATAAAACATTTGACGGCCAAGCACCAAAGGAGTGTGTCAGAACACGTACACAATCTACATGGACACGAAGCCTGATATAGTCTGGACATCAATAGTTCCCTGTCCCACTATCCAATCAGTGTTTTAGAGATCAGATTGTTTCTATTCTGTTCAAAACTGACCCTGTAATCCAGTTGTTTCCAAATAAAGCCACTTCTGCTGGGAACAAAGGATTATCTTCACTCCACTGCATAGACCAAGAAATTAATAAACATTGAAAACAAACAATCTAAATCGTTTACTTCTTTCTGATAAGGAAATTATTACACTTTCTTTATCAAAAAGTCTTAAATCTATATTTGCATTGAACATTCAAAACTGCCTCTGACAGAATTTCGGTAAAATTCCATTGCCAATTTTCTGGCATTCAACTGACATTAAAATTCAATTGTTAAATCATTTCAATGAAAGTCTTTCNCATCACCCTAGGCCTTTCGGTTATTTAGAAGAAGTCGTTTAAAGTAAAATATTGACGCCGGACGCCGGACGGACGGACGGACGGACGACGGACGGACGACGGACGCCGCACCACGGCATAAGCTCACTTGGCACTTCGTGCCAGGTGAGCTAAAAATGGCAGAATGATAAAATAAAAGAAGGAAAAGTGGATTCTTCTGGACAAAAATGTACGTGTCTAAAAAAATATCTTGCATGCTTAAACCAATCCATTCACCGTCGCATTGTCTACGAGAGATCAATCCCTAGCGACTGTTTATACAGAGAACAATGTGTCTGATAGGAAAATGTCTCCACTCTAAATTGGTTTGCCTCTCCTCCTTGACAAGACATATACAATTCCCCAGTAAAAGGCTTGCTGTTTTATCATGCTTAGCTTCCAAGACTCCAAATTGGAACCCTAGCTGATGTAAGTGTTCCTGAAAGTCGTTAAGAAGGTAAAGAACCAGCTATACGCAAGTGTCAACTTGAAATCAAACAAAACGTGGCAACTGTGATTACAAAATAGGTATACAGAGTATGAAGTGCATATGAACTACAACGACTCCATAACTAGTTTCAATATTCAAATTTGACAATTTTTTAACAATTTAAAACAGGATTTATTCAGACTCTTTTCTAAAACCAGAGCCCCTCAAAAAAATATGTTATTTTTTTTATTATTGCATCATTGACTAATTATACAGTAGAGCAATATAATGCAGTCATACAAAAATATATTTTAACAGCTGCGGTTAGCCACACTGGGCAATGTGTTTAAAATTTTAAAATATATTGCAGAAGCAATTTTGGTATTACATCTGTTATATTCTTTCTGAAAGTTTTCAACAACAAAAAATGCTATGAATACAATTTTCAGAATATTTTCTCTCAGAAAAATGAGACGTTTGCATGTTTTAATTGAGTGTCCTAACGGAAAAAAACAATTGTTTTAAAATACGAATGACCAGGAAATACCATATATCAGATCAGTATTAGGGGCCATGTTGATTTTGTCTGTGTTTCATGTTCAACACTGTCCAGCTCCCGCAGCCAAATGAAGCATAAGTGTAAGTGCCCAGCACTTTTAGCAAGAACCAGCCAGCTATACAATATGTATCCACGATTGTAATATTGCAGTCGTTTTTCCATTGTTTGCCATATGTTAGGTATTTCATTTCCCATATACCTATAGGTGATTTTAGGTACTAATCACTCAACGTCGACACCTGCTGTTAAGCAACATCTTGTTATCATAAAACGGTTTTGCAATGAAACATGGTACATATAAAGCAACTATTAAGAAGAAAGAAAGGGGGATCTCGCAAGATTATCAGCAGAGTCAGCGTTCACTGTTTTACGATTTAATTCTTTCTGACATTGAGTTTGTCTACCGCATAGAGAATGCAGACAGTGGAAATCTTCCCATCAAGTCTACTATGTGTCTGGAAGTTTCGTCTCCACGGTCATCAAACAACAATGCTGGATGTCTCCGTCTGTTTTATGGCAAATCCAAATTTTGGAAAATTTATGTTTTTTTATCAAAGGGAAACAACTCCCATAATGTATGTATTTTCCAACCAAACAATTCAGGTCACTTCCTTTCTCTAGTATGTACGATATACAAGGACTGATTTTACCTGTAGTTCCATTCACTAAAAGCTGAATATTGATAGTTTTTACCTTCACAGGACAGCAAAGACAGGTCAACTGTGATGACATTCTCCAATCAATCAATGTTGGATTTGACAGATTTCACTGTATTTCCTGCCTGCTTTAAAATGTCATCCGAGCCACTTTTGCTTATCACAATTCAAATGGTTGGACTGTCAAGAGTTGTTCGTTTATGAAATAAGGTCAGACCTAGTAATCTTATGCTGCTTTCAGGTGAGTCTGGACAAAGCCTTTCAAGGCCTGCATAAACATTTGCAGGTCCGCCATTTATACTCGAATATACCCGAATAAGCCACAGGACTCACTATAGAGCAGTCTGAAACTGTTGTTTTTCCAGTTTCTTAAAGCATGTAAAAGACATCTCTAAATCTGTAGCTATATAAGAGGATGACAGTTTTCCACCAAATTATTGTGCATAAATTCACAGAGTTTACTCTTATGCTGGACAGGTGTATCCACACATTTTTCAGTATAAGATATCCTTATCACATCCTCAGGTCGAGAGGAGGTGATTTCCCAGGCGTAACAATTGAATGATGTCATGTCAATAATACATTGATGTAACACATAATAATACATCAACATTAAATATATATCAGGGCCGACCAAGTAACGGAGACAGAACCATTCTCCCACTAATGGCGGGTAAGATGATGGATCTCAACCCTTGGGTTAGAGATTCTTAAGTCGCCAAACACTCTGCAAATCAAGTGTTAAATAAGAATCTTTCCTCTTGGATAGTGATTACCTAATGTCACCCTTAAAGAGATGCACGATTCTATGTGTATGCATGTCAAAATAACGAAATCCATGTCTTGTCTGTATTATTCAATAACTAATCTGACGAGAAATTCAAAATCCAGTAACGACAAACTGATTAAATTAATACGTAATGAANTTTTATTCTGGAGGGGGTATGTGTGGTTGATGGTCCATACATTCCCTTTTACAGAAAACAACACTTGGAGATGCTAATACACAATTTGAAACATTAAAAAATATGTATGTCGTATATTTCATCTTTACCAGTAAAGACAGAAGAATTAGCATTAAAAAGTTTTTTTCTGTAAGTCAGGATAACTTGAACCAACTTGACCTACCAATGTGTATGTCACAAGGTAGATAATTCTTATGACAATGTGATTGCTTTAAATCTGAAATATCAATCTTGATTAAAACCAGATCTTTAATTCTACTTCGATACTGTATGTTCTAATCAAAGAAAGACCAGATTCTGGTTCAAAGAAAGACTTTGACTGGAACGTAGAATATTAGAATGGAATTATAGATCTAGTTTAAATCAAAGACTTTGAATGGAAAGTAGTGTATCGGAGTGAAATTAAAGATCTGGTTTAAGTCAAAGACTTTGAATGGAAAGTAGTGTATCGGAGTGGAATTAAAGATCTGGTTTAAATCAAAGACTTTGACTGGAAAGTAGAGCATCGGAGTGGTATTGATGATCTGGTTTTAATCAGATTGCCGAAATATTCACTGTACTGTAACTACAACATGCCATAATAAATTTTTGATGAGTCATGCAATAAATATGTTGCCGTACCTGCAGTTGAACTCTTCTCGTCTCTTGTTTAGCTCCCCGGTGTCAATGACCGTCTGAGTGGTACTGACCACCTCCACGCCGTCTCGCATGTACTTTCTAGTCTTCGTTAGTGTTCTATAGTGACTTTTAGCGTCCTGAAAAAACAAAAAGGTAAATATAAACTTGAACAATAAACCTTGATATAGCTTGGGTCACAACTACAGAAGGCAAAGATCAATTTTCGACTTTTGAGAAATTATATTTCTGCAAACTTTGTGTGAAAATAAAATCAGGTCCCCTCAATCATAACAATGAATAATGATATATATAGTTTGTATAGCGTGGGTCACAACTTTAACAGGCAAAGACCTATTTTCGATTTTTGAGGAATATATATTTCTGCAAAGTTCGTGTGAAAAATTACATCAGGTGTCCTCAATCATATCGATGAATAATTATAATAAAGAGAAATCAACCACCAACAGAAATATAAAATCTGTAGACTGATCAGGAAAATGTTTTTTGTAATGTTTCGTATAAAGTACATGTACGCCAGAGAGAGTTCAATTTTACGATTTCAAGGAATAACCAGTCTACTCTGGATGACAAGAATTCATCTAGCTCTTAAAAATATATATCCATTTTGCAATCGTACTAAAATTATTCAACCCAATTTCAGCTTTGATCCGTATAGGGTGCAGTACAGTCTTAGCAAATTTAGGGTAGAGCTTCACTCTCACAGCAAACTCATATTAATTCTTGTCTTGATTACTATATATCACTAAATCTGAACTGATTAAATAAACATGTTGAAAATTGGCAATCATTTAATTAAATGATATAATTTTCAAAAAGTTTTATGCGGAAAAGCAATTAACACGAAAATGGGTTTTTTTAAAGTTAATTTTTTAATAATTATTGAAAAACACATGGACTAACGCTTATAACTAATAACTGTTCCTTTTACTGCAATATGATCATATTGGATTTGGCCTTTAAAGCTAAGAACTTACCCCTCTTGTTCGTATATGTGACTTAGGAGGTCGGGTTGTAGTGGTCCTATGAACATCCTCATTGCTATCCACTGTGGTTACGCTACCCGCGTCTGAACGTGCGTCATCATCAACCTGTGCTATATTACGGTTCTTGGAATCTTTGACATTTTTGGTTTCAAATGTATCTAGATCTGTCTGTGGGATCACAGCACTTGTTTCCATTTCTTTATTCCCACTTTCGCTTACAGGCACGGCAAAACCGTTACCGACCACCATTCCTGCCGACGGAACTGGCTGGCCATTAATTGTGATTGAGGCATCGTCTTTATTGCTATCTAAATTTGTCTGAACTGCACTGTCGTCGTCACCTAGAGTGACCCTCACCTCTTGAATTTCTATTTCTACTTTCTCTTTACTAGTATTTTGTGTTGTTGAAGATGCATTTCCTGCAACTTTTCTAATTTCTACATTGTTGGCTTTGCCGGTAGATATGTCAATGATCATTTTGTGCCCAGGTGATTTTTTCTTTTCTGGTTCTTTTTCCTCCTCGTCTTGTAAAGCGTCATCAATATCAGTTATTTCATAACTCGTTTCTGCATCTTCTTGTTGGTCATTTTGAGATTCTTGGTCTTTTTTCTCCGCCTCCTGATGAGCTTCCTGGATGACGTCATTGAAAGTATCCAGAACGACGCTAGGCACTGATGGTTGAGTGTCGACAGAGCGAATCACTTCATCGATGAGACCTTCTAACATGTCATTGACTGTTGGGGTAATGTCTGGCTTGACATCATCTTTTACAGGACTGACGGTCTAGAAAAAAAAGTGAAAACTTGTCAAGATTTATCACTTTTTAAAAGAAATATATTTCACAAACAACTTAATTTCCATTCAGAAAATTCTACAACATAAGTCACTTGACATAGAGCTAGAGAAATACACCACTAGTATTTTGATAACAGTGTGAAAAAGTCTAGCCTGACTGTTTGCTATATGCGATGTTGTTGGTTTATACCAAGTTAGACTACTAAATAAACTATATTATAGGGCATGCTATTCACAGCAAAATGTTAGCAAAACAACTGACCTAGATTTCTATGACTTCCTCAAAAATGAATGCATTTCTTCACTATGTATACTTAGAACCACAAACACTTTGCAAATATGCATTAACCCAGAACATGCAACATGAAAAAATCAAAACTGTATTTAGTGTCTCTTCCAAATCTATAATTGTTCTATAATAAGCATGCAGACATCTATTACTAATTGTTTTGTATAAGGTTTCACAATCTCTCAACAGGCCAGGTCATATGAAGATGGGATATATCTACCTCCTAAGTAAATGTCAATCATTACTAATAAATCTACAATTCTACAATATTAAGTAGACATCAACCGTTCACTAATACAGCTATAACTTAAGACATCAACGTTTCATTAATACAGCTATAACTAAAGACATCTACCTTTCATTAATACAGCTATAACTAAAGACATCAACCATTCATTAATACAGCTATAACTAAAGACATCAACCTTTCATTAATACAGCTATAACTAAAGACATCAACCTTTCATTAATACAGCTATAACTAAAGACATC